TCTTTCCTTTGTGTTTCCTTCTGTCAACTTGCTTGGCTGGTTGTATATAGTAACCAGATTACGGATTATTTTAGAAAATTTGGAAATTTCAGAAAATTATACTTAGAGATAGCCACTGTCGACATATTTTTTTTACTGTGAATTTTCAGTCACATGTTCAGGACAACTCTTCTTTTCAGCCAGTATTTTTCGTCATTATATAATGACTTCATGGCTGAGCTATTTGGGTGCATCATTATACATTTTATTGGAGTATATGAGAGATTCATGTGTTTCAGAATTCAAAAGGTATTAAAGGGGCACAGAGGAAAAAACCTTCCTCCACTCCCAGCTTCCAAATTGAGAGTCCACCTTTAGGGCCAGCTTCTTGGCTCTTTCCACAGGTAGACCCTGCCTGGGTGTGTAGATCCTCCCCTTGGGCTTGTTTCTACACACCCACACCGCTGTTCCTTACTTTGCTCTTCTCAGAGTATGCTTTGGCATTCGTTCTAAGAAGGTCAAAGAGTGTCTTCATTGTTGTTTTGACCATGTGGCATTCTTCTGTCACATGGAGCCAGGGTTTGTATGACATGATCCTCCCTTAGAAGAGAAGTAGCTCCAGGAAGGGGCTCTGAAGTCTGTTCTCCAGAGCATCTAACATGGGGCTCAGGTTCTGTACCCTTTAAGCAGAAGAGATCTGGCACTCCCCAGCCTGGCTGTTTGCCTTCTGTTCCTTGAGAGCTGGGGTTTGGGGATCATCCCATGTTTCCTGTGAACCCTTGTCCTGGCATTGTCTCAGGCTTAGGAAGGACCCATGGAGCTGGATTTTCTCCTCTCCCTGTGCAAGTCTCAGCCCTGGTCAGCTTCACACCCAGTTATGAGTAGAAAGGGCTGCAGTGATAAGAAAGGTAAGCCAGGCTCCTGGTAGCCCAGTTTCCAGAACTCATTGGTAACTGATAGCAAGCTGGTGGAGAGCAGACAGACTGGAAGGGTGAGCAGGGATTAAAAAGGAAGGGAGGCCCTTTGGCTGAACCTCAGCTACTAGTAATGTGTCCTGGGTGACCCTGCCACCCTGTGGGCAAAAGAAGGAACAACTGTATCTACTCTACTAACCCCACTTCATGAGAAGTACTTTGAGGAGTGTTGGCAGCCGTGCATGTGTGTGCTGTGTAGCTTGTTCCCACCTGCACCCAAGGGTTTGTCCCTTGTGCTGTGGGTCTGCCGTGTTCTGTCCTGTCTTGTAGTTCTCAGGGCCTAAAGAGGAGCTTCTGGAATAGTAATGTGGAGTATCTTTGGAGATGAGACATCTATCCTAGAGGACTGCTGTGTTCAATTCTGATGACTTCAGCCACACACACACACACACACAAGCTTTATGAGAAATGGATGGCTTTGACTTCCAAATGGATGCTAATGATAGCATGCAGATGTCTCAGAAGCATCAAAACCAAGATTCAGGCCCAAGGCATACTGTTAAAAGCCCAGGATTCTAGACCATCGGCAGTCTCTTCATTCTGAAACTGGGGCAGCAGTCATTTGGTTGCCATGACTCCCAGAAGAGTGGCCTCCCAGTGCCAGTGACTGTCTGGTGAGTGCAGGCAGCATCAGTGTTTCCTAGCCCGCTAACAGGGTCCTGGGTGGTGGCCTGCCTTATTAGTCTGGCTGGCATTGTGGAGTCGCACCCTTCCCAGTCTCAGAGTACGGCAGCTCAGCTGCTGGAAAGGGAAGGCCTGAGACTAGGCTGGGCCTGCTTTCTGTGTGAACCTGATGTTTTTACTGTTTGTTTCATTCCTCTTTCACTTCACGAACTTAGATTAAAAAAAAAAAATTGTAACCATTTCTTTTTTCTGTTACCTATATACTCTTTTTCCCTAAGTAGTTTCCATAGGGATGGAAGCATACTTTTTTTTTGAGACAGGGTTTCCCCATAGCCCCAGCTTGTAACTCCCTGTGTGGACCAGGCTTGCTTCAATTTCAGAGATCTGCCTGCTTCTGCCTCCCGAGTGCTAGGATTAAAGGAATGGGCACCATACCCAGCCCTAACATACATTCTTAATAAAAATCTACAAAAAATAAGTAGTTTACTAAAAAGTAGTGGTACTTTTACAATTTCCTCTACCATTCCTCAGGACACTCAGACACCATTTGTTATTCTTTCTGCCCGTTGTACTGTTTTGTTTGAAAGGCCAATCTGTGGTACATGAGGCCTTTTTTTTTTTTTTTTTTTTTTTTTTTGAGGCAGAGTCTCCCTGTAGCTACTGGCCTGGAACTCGCTATGTAGACCAGGCTGGCCTTGAACTCACAGAGATCTGTCTGCCTCTGCCTCCCAAGTGCTGGGATTAAAGGCATGCGCCACCACGCCCAGCTTTTTAATTTTTTTTTTTTGTCAAGTGGATCTTTGTGAACTCGAGGCCATCCACTATGGTGCCCAACAAGCTGTTTCCATGGTTGGAAGAGCGATGTGCTGCAGGTTCACCCTGCTTTTAGATTGGGTCACAGTTGAAAGCCCCGGGCTTTGCCATGGCCCTACTCCTTGGCTTTCCCACATTGTTTTCCTCTCTCCAACCCCATGAGACCATAGGAAGCTCAGCTTTTCAGACACCACTTGGCAAGAGACAGATGTTCAAGGGGAAAGAGGAGACAATAGCAGGCTCGAGTGATTGTGCTTCCCTTATCTGTGTTCACAGCCTTGTAAACCTCGAGTTGGCCCTTCTCCTGTCAGTAGATGTTTAAACTATGTATGTGGTCAGATTTGTTGTTTGTAGAAGGGGATTTAAATCTTGAGCCTGTTTTAGAAATGCTCCAAACAGAACCCAGTACTCCTTTCCCGAGACTCCCCCTGCCCTCTGGCAGTGGGCCAGGGATAGCCAGTTGGGCATTACAAAGGGAAAGATTCTTCCTTGCCCCCAGATGAGTCAAGTGAGTGCTTGAACCTATCTTGATACAGATCCATGCACACAGCACAGCCTCCATTCACAGAGGTGGAAACCATGGCCCCAAATAGGACCTCCCACAGTGATTGGGGCCTCCCACATCAATTAGGGCCCAGATGTCCTTGACTGCTGACCAATGCTCAGCAGGCGAAGAGTGGTGGACGCAGGACTGCTGTTGTCCTCCTGCTTTGGCCTCCTCCTCCCCTTGCTGTGTCCCCCTCATTCAGGCCAGTGGCCCTCTGAAGCCATGGGGCAGGTGGTGAGGCTGGAGGCAAGAGGTGCTTGTTGCTACAGATTCCCCTCTCAAGATCCTGGAACCAGCTGTAGGGTTTGGTTTTGGGTTTTTTTTTTCCCTCACTAATCCCTGCCATTTTCTTCCCACACCCAGTTCCTCTTCCTCTTTTCTCCCCCACCCTGTGGTGAACAGAAGCCATTAGAGCAGATCAGACTCCAGTTTCTCACCTCGTGCCCCAGTGACCTGCTGCTTATCTCCAGGCCTGAGCTGACGTAGGGGGCGGGGGCAGAGTGCCCTGTGCCTGCTTTTTTGAGGAAGCAGGCTCCGGCAAGTGTGGGATGGACTTCCTCCATCTTAGCCATATGGGTACTGGCACTCCCCAGGGCCCCTGGTAGGAGGGAAGGAGGTATGTTGCTATGTGAGCTGGGGATAGGGCACAGGTGGAACTCCAGGTTCACAGCACTGCCACTTGTTAGCTGTGTGACCACAGGCATCAGACCTCTCAGGGCCTGGGAAAGCCACTGGCACTGTTGCCTGGCCCAGGCAGAGGTCCCACAGTTGATGGGCTGCCCTGAAAGCCTAGGACTTTCTGAAGGGCTAGTGTGTTTAAAGTCCAAAATGGGGAGCAGGGGGCAAAGGTGCTACTTCTGTACCTCTCAGGTCTAGGGGTCTGTCCACTGTCTCTACCTTATTTTATAAGCCCAGTATTCCCCAGGAATTGCTGCTCTGTGAAGAAGCCAGGCCTCCTCTTCCCTGGGACAATCTTCTGTCTGTGTGTATGGTTGGGATTTGATAGCTGCTGAAGCCAGGGAGGCTGCCAGCAAGCCCATGGCACTGGCTATAGGCAGATGAAAGGCTTGGGTTCAGGCTTCTTGGTGCTGTTGGCCCCTGTGACTCTCCCTGTCCCCCACCTTCACCTAGGCTTTGGTCTTTCTGGCCACATTCTAAAGACTTCAGAGCTAAAGACTCTCAGAGCTTTGTGGGTCTCACCAGCATTCAAGTACACATGGCTTCTCAGTTTTGCACACTCCCATGCCTGTCCACAAATATGGGTCAGCCTCTTGAGTCATTCTCCATAGCCTCCAACCCAGAAGCCACCTCCTCCCGGAATCCTCACACTTCCCACTACTTTAAATAGCCAGGCCTCTTCTGAAGACTCCTGCACTTGCTCATCCTCTTGTCACTCCACCTCACTCAGCCACACCCCTTGGCCCAGTACACACAGTATACCCAGTATACCTAGTACACAACTCTTTCACTAGAGCTAATGGACTATGAGGCATTGGCCTGAGATTTGAAGGCTCTGAGGGAGAGTCTGGACTTGGGGAACTAAGTGTAGAGGGCTTTCTTTTAGGAGTGACACAGCTCAAGAGCTCTGGCTCTGACTGGGAAGTATACCCAGCCTTGCTCTCAGATGTGCAATCACTGCTGTGTGACCTCATGAGAATGGAAGACTCTGCTGGGTGTGGTAGCAAACACCTTTAATCCCAGCAGAGGCAGGCAAATCTCTGTGAGATTGGGGCTAACCTGGTCTACATAGTTCTAGCCAGCCTGGGCTGCAGGGAGACCCTGTCTCAAAAAGACAAAACAAAACAAAAGCAAAGAAACAATAAAGAAAACGGAGATCTCTGACCCTCAGTTCCTGTAACTGTCAAATGGAGATAATCCAGTGGGGGTGCTACTAAGTGCTCCCAGTTGTACTGGCCCCAGCCTCTAGCAGAGGGCTGATGCTCAGCTCTATGCTCCCTTCACCTGGCCATCTCCAGGTGAACTGGAGGAAAGTTGAAACTTGTAAGGTGTAGGAGACAAATGAAAATTGTCCCCCACACTGTGTGTGTTCTCTGCTTTCACAGGGAACTCAGGCTGCGGAACTATGTCCCAGAAGATGAGGACCTGAAAAGGAGGAGGGTGCCCCAAGCCAAACCAGTTGCAGGTATGTGGCCCACCCTTTTCTATGGTCCTGCCAGTCGCCCTCCACCACACTAGGTGTCACCATCAGAGTATATGCCAGTACCAGAACAGAGGCTGGGCCTCCGGAGCACACCAGCACTTCTCATGCAGGCACATAGTCTCCAGGGATCCCAGAGAGGCCACCAAGGCAGGAAAGAGGTCTGTTGCACCTGCTTATCTTGAGGTAGAAGGGAAGGTGACCCAGGGACCTGCCAGCCATCCCTCAGGAAGCTGAAGGCCCTTAGGGCACGAGGATCAGAAGTGATCTGGGGTCCTTGGGCAACAGAGCAGGGGGGTGGGTCCTGTATGCCCCTGGGAACAGAATAAGAGACCCGAAAGAGAAGCTGACCATTCAGATACTCAGAGAACAAGAGGGGGCTTGCCCGGGTTTTCCCAGCCTCGCTGCAGGGCGAGAGCTACAGTGTGACAAGGGAGCCTCTTGGTCATATGGCTGCAGATCCACCCCCTTGCCCTGAAGAATCTAGTTTTTATTCTTTACTTTTGATATCAACTTTTAATTGTGTAAGTAATGAAGGAATAAATACTGTATCAGAAATTCATTTGTTGGGGCTGAAAAGATGGCTTAGCGATTAAGACTACTGGCTGCTCTTGCAGAGGACCTGGGCTTAGTTCCCAGCACCCACATGGCAGCTAACAACAATCCAAAATTCCAGTTCCAGGGAATCTGATGCCTTCTTCTGGCTTCCTCATGTATTGCTCAAACAGATGTAGTTACTACATACATGCCTGGTGACACACGCATTCAATCCCAGCACTTGGGAGAGAGAGGCAGGCAGATCTCTGTGAGTTAGAGGCCAGCCTGTTCTACATAGTGAGTTCCAGGCCACCTGGGGCTACAGGAGGACCCTGTCTCATAAAGACCAAAAATAAAAAAACAAAAACATGGGTCTGGAGAGTTGGCTTAACCGTTAAGAGCACTGACTGCTCTTGCAAAGGACTCAGGTTCAGTTCCCAGCACCCACATGGCAACTAATAACTGTCCATAACTCCAGTTCCAGGGGATCCAACGCCCTCTTGTGACCTCCACGGGCATCGCAAGACATGGGTGCACTTAAACATAAACACAGGCAATACACTCAAATACACTAAAAATAATAAAACATATTTAAAAAACAAGCACTTAAAATTCAGCCAGCTTTGGCACACACCCTTAATCTCAGCACTCAGGAGGCAGAGACAGTTGGATCTCTGTGAGATTGAGGCCAACCTGGTCTACATAACCAGCTGGGGCTACAGCTGTCCAAAAAAAAAAAAAAAATTCAGGTGTTGCCTATTCATTCATAGTCTGTTTCTCCATCTCCTCTGAGCACCAGACCTTGGGCCTCACCTGGTGGGGCAGTGGCAGGGTTAGGTGGAGGACACAGAGGGATGAGAAACTTGCCAGGCCACCTAGGACTCATCTCTGGTTGGAGAAAGGTAGGGTAAAGAAGGGCAGGAGAACACTCACAGAGTCCCTGATGATAGCATTGAAGGCAGCCCACAGCCCACAGTCATTGGTGCTTCTGGCATCTGTTCCCAGTAGGGACCACCCAAGGCCTAATGACTTGGTAAAGCCAGGAGGTACCTGTCCTTTATGACTGAGGTGGGATGGGAAGGTAAGCTTCCTCAGACTGGTCAGGCGGGAGCCAGAGAAAATCTTTACCAGTCTTCACTTTTAAAACTACGCTTCCCATGTATACAGGCACCCCTCTCATTCCACAGCTGGAAGTTTGAGGCCCAGGTTAGTATTCAAGTTCTCTGATTGGAGATCTGGGCCCTGTTTGTGCCAGCAGTAACCTGTTGTTATCCCATTCTGCCCCTTAGGGACTGCCTTTATCCAGGGAAACCTGGGCTTCTCTTCCAGAGCTGCCTTTACTGGGTTTCATCTCATTGGTTGGAGGCATAGGAAAGAGGGAGGAGCAAGAAGCTTAGGGTCCTTCCCCTCCCTGGGGCCAAGGCTGGTCACTGTAGAGTGGAAGCTTCTGTCCAACAGGCCTGTGTTGCTCTTGCACCCTCTAGTGGAAGAGAAGGTGAAGGAGCAGCTGGAGGCTGCCAAGCCAGAACCTGTCATCGAGGAAGTGGTGAGTACCTGAGTGGCAGTGCATCTCCACTGCTCTTGTGCCGCCTTTTCCTCTTCTACACCAGCTGGCCCTGTGTTGCCTTCCTTCTCTACATGTCTTTTCTCCTTTTCTACTTCCTTGCCTGTCTTGTCTTTCCCACCTCTGCCCTGTCTCCCCACTTCCGAGGTAGGTCCTGACCCTGATAAGTGTCTCTTCCCTCCCCAGGACCTGGCCAACTTGGCACCCCGGAAGCCTGATTGGTAAGTATTGTCCATACAGGCTGGTGCAGACCAAATGTGGAAGCTTGTGCTTGGTGCATGTCATGGGCCTTGGCTAGGGGACCAGGCAGGGGCCAGGCAGTAAGTACATAGATCTTCACAAGACAGAAATAAGGGCCAAGCAGGACCAAATGGTGGCAGAGAGTAAGAGTGCAGGGGAGGGGCCCAGGGTATGAGGGAACAGCTTCAGGTTTCCTGCTGTAAGGGTGGGAACTCACCTTGCTCTTAGAGAGTCCCATCTAGGCAGTGCAGCCCTGTGCACTCAGGAGACCACAGTGAGGGACAAGCAGACACAAGATATGTCCTTGTTTTGTCTGAAAAAATGGGGTCCCCATCCTCTCGTAGCCTACTGGACCCTCTCTCACTGAGCTGGGAAAAGTGAGCGAGTGCACTGTGGGCTGGAGGCATGTATTTCATTGTGCCTTGGGCCAGACAGAGGTCAGGGCTGTTTGCTTCATGCCTATAGTTCTGTGTGAGTGCAGCACCTACTACAGTGCTTTTGTTTGGTGAAACAGGCTTGGGGCATGTGTCATAGGATCCCTGAACTACAGAGTGCAGACTCAGTTCACATGCACATCTAGAAACCCATGAGTTGGGAGGGGGAGCCTGTAGCAGGAGGAGGAACAGGCATCACAGCAGGCCAAGGCAAGTTGCTCCTTGATGCTGACCTAGGAGACATGACAGGAGGATCACTGAGGAGTCATCCACCTTTGCATGATTTGGCTCGGTTCTCTACCTTGGGTAGGTTTACCTCAGTGGGACTGGGAAGAATGACTGGGTCTTGGGGCCACAAGGAAAGAGAGGGGGCAGCATCTTGGTCTCCCCAGTGCAGCCCCTCGGGTGGCTGAGTGTTGTAAATACTGAGGCACTGCAGAAGGATCCCAGGGCCACACCAGGCAAGCCTTTAACTTCCTACCTTTCTTTCCCCTTGTTCCAGGGACCTCAAGAGAGACGTAGCCAAGAAGCTGGAGAAGCTAGAAAAGCGGACCCAGAGGGCCATTGCCGAGCTGATCCGTAAGTGTGGCCCTGGCCAGTGGAGTCCTGCCCTTTGGGTAGTGGTCTAAGCAAGGATTCTTCACCCCACCTGTTTGCTCTCCATTCAGGTGAGCGGCTGAAAGGCCAGGAGGACAGCCTGGCATCTGCAGTGGATTCCACCACTGGACAAGAGGCTTGTGATTCTGACTGAGGTGTTCTGTTTCCCAGCTGTTCAGCATACCTTTTCTATGGGAAGGTGGTCTTGAGCAGGACGGGGACTGGGCTTGCCATCACTTCTGGGTCTTGAGAATTGAGCCAGTTCAATCATGTGAGGCCAGCTTCTTGTCTCCTGAGGTCCCCTACTGCTCTGCGTGTACTGGAGCTGGCAACAGTGCCAAATGTGCTTGGATCTGTACATATGTATTTTGAACTTTTTATAACTTCTGGAAATAGAGACAAGTAAACCCCTGTGTAGCAGAAACCTGCTGTTGCTTCATGTTTGCTAGGTGCTCTAGTTTGGGCTCTTAGAGTACTACAGAGGTGGTGCTCAATGTGAATTACCCCTGGGTTGGGCTGGGCTTGTTGAGGCTAAAAGGTAGGGAAGAGCCACAGTTGACCTTCTGGCTCCAAGGCCTGATCTAGTCAAAATCAGCAGTGATTATCTCAGAACCCTTAGACCACAGAGAGAATTCTCTTAAGACCTCCCACAGGCTGGAACCTTGCAGTAGTCTAGGAATCTGGAGAGATCCACAAGTCCTCTGGACCCCCTCACAAAGTGAGAGTCAGGAGGGCAGGCTCTGACAAATCTCCAGTTGAGCACTACAGACTTGAGGCCATCATGCTGCCCTCCCCACCCTCCCATTTCTGCCCTGCCTCTGGTAGCCCATCTTTTTCCTCTACGAGTCAGAGCTATGCTTCCCTGAGTGGGGAATCTGTTCAGCTAGAGATCAGGCTGTGGTAGGCTAGGGTTCAGTTGTGATCTTGGTTCCTGGGCCCCCAAGGTCCTGGCTTGAGAACTGTGAGCCTCTGAGCTGACTCTCCAGGGTGATGGACTGGCTACATCAACACTGACTCCAGGTATAGTATAGCCAACTAGGGCTTTTCCTCCAGGAAAGTTCTTTTAGGACTTCCCCTTGACCCATCCAACCCCAGCCTCATCCAGTATGTTCATCCCTCTATGCTGTGTTACAGAAACACAGTGGCCTGGCTCTGACAGGCACTGCTGAAGACTTGGATCATGGAGGCAGAATGGGTGTTTGCACATAGAGGCCAGGACCCCAAACAATAAATAAAATCTTTTAAATGAAAGTTGTAAATCTGTGTGTGGTAGCATATACCTTTAATTTTAGCACTTGGGAGGGAGACAGAAGGATCAGGTGTTCATGGTCATCCTTATCTACATAGTGAGTTTGAGGCCATCCTGGGCTGCATGAAACCCTGTCTCAAAAATGAAAAGAGAGGAGAGAGGTAAAAGGTCAGAGGTGAGGGGAAAGGAGATGGGTAAGGAGAGGTTAGAAGACAACTCTCAAAAAGCCTGTGTACCTCAGAGTGAGAGCTAAAGTGGTAGATGGCAGGCACAGCACTGGGCAGTGAGATGAGGCTGGACCCTGGCTCCCTCAGAGAACAGCGGCTAACTTGACCAGAGTTGTCAGGACTATAAGTGTAGGATGAAGAGACTCCCCGCACCACCCGGGATCTCATTGGCAACAGAAAGCTTGTCAGTAACAGTGGAAAGATTCAGAGTCTTGGAGACCAGGAGCCAAGCTCCCCTTTAGCCCCAGCTCTGGGACTACAGTAGTGTTACCTGGGACCAGAGAGCTCACAAAAGGGTGCTTCTGAATTTGTGACCTTGGGGCCTTGATAGAAACTGCCTTATAAGGAAAGAGAAAAACAACTGCCATGTCTGACAAACAAAAATCATGAAGCATGAAAAAATTCTAGTCCTTTGCTGGGTATGGTGGGACATCCTTGCAATCCCCACATGTGGGAGGCTGTGGAAGGAGAATATCAAGGTCAAAGCCTACCTGGGCTACATAATAAGACATGATTTTTTTTTTCTGGTCTTTTTGAGACAGGGTCTCCCTGTAGCCCCAGCTGTCCTGGAACTCACTATGTAGACCAGGCTGGCCTTGAACTTGCAGAGATCCGCCTGCCTCTGCCTCTGGAGTGCTGGGATTAAAGGCATGTGCCACCACGCCCGGCTTTTTTTTTTTTTTTTCTTTTTTTAATGCATGTACAAAGCTCTGGGTTCAGCCCCTAGTACCACATATAGTAGGTGTGGTGGCATAACTCTCAGCACTTGGAAGGTGGAGTCAGGAGGATCAGAAGTTCAGTGTTGTTCTCAGCTACTTAGGCAGTTCAAGGCCAACATGGACTACATGAGATCCTGTCTTAGAAAAGGGGTGCAAGGTGAGGGTGGGGAGTCAGAGAAACGGCTCAGCAGTTAAGAGCACTTGCTGCTCTTCAGAGGACCTGGATTCAGTTCCCAGCCCCACATGTCCATTAACAACCATCCATACTCCAGTTTCAGGGGATCTAACACCCTCTTCTGGCCTCTGCAGGCATTGGATGCATGGGTACGTGGTTATACTTACATGCAGGGAAAACACATACATAAAACAATTTTTTTTTTAAGGAATGGGGGCATGGTAAGATGCCTAGGGTAAAGGCACTTGCCACTGAACCTGATGACCTGAATTCCATCCCCAGAACCCACATGGTGGAAAGAGAGAACCTACTCCCACAAGTTGTCTCCTGACCTTCGCATGTGTGTACACACAAATAATTTTTTTTTTCTTGGTCTTTTTGAGACAGGGTCTCTCTGTAGCCACAGCTGACCTGGAACTCACTATGTTGACCAGGCTGGTCTCAGTCTCACAGAGGTCCATCAGCCTCTGACTCCTGAGTGCTGGGATTAAAGGTGTGTGCCACCATACCTAGCTCACAAATACATTTAAAACAGTTAAAACCTAGGGGGCTGGAGAGATGGCTCAGTGGTTAAGAACACTGTTTTGCAGAAGACCTGGTTCGAATTCCAGCACCCACATGGCAGCTAACAACTGTCTGTAACTCCAGTTCTAGGGGATCCAACAGCCTCTTTGGTCCTCCGTGGGCATTGCACGACACGGGTGCCCTTACCTACATGCAGGCGTAACACTCATACACATAAAAATAAAATAATAAATAAAATTTAAAAAAAATTAAAATCTATTGCCTTAAAGAATAGCCAACAGTGCCATGTGTGGTGGTGCATACCTTTAATCCCAGCACTTGGGAAGCAGAGGCAGGTGGATCTCTGTGAATTCAAAGTCAGCCTGGGCTAATAGCAAGTTCCAGGCCAGCTGAGGTTACAGGGAGACCCTGTCTCAAAACAACAACAACAAAAAGCCAACAGTCCAACAGCAGGGAAGTTTACAGACAAGGAAATAAACAGTGACATCCTAATGAGCATCTGCTTTATTATCAGAAATGAAAGAGGGTCTAGCCACATAACACAAGAGCAGGAATTAGATGTGAGAATTGATCAGAAATCTTGAAAATGAGCCTAGAAAATGAGTGCCTTCGCATTTTTAGGTTGAAGAAGGAGGCTGAGAACAGCCTGGGGACCTTGTCTTGAAAAAGAGAAAAACCCAACCCCAGATTGGAAGTAAAGGGGACTTGAAAAGCTCCAATGAGCACAGACTCAGCTAAAGACAGCAGAGATGGCTAGAGTAATGTCATTGTAAGGGAGACCTGTGGACAGAACTGTTTTTAGCTGTATTGATGTGCCATATGGGAGGAGGGGGTAGAGAGGTTTGCACAAGGTGATGTTAGATGGTGCAGCCACTTTGGAAAAGTTGTACATATTTACTCTGAGACCCAGAAGTTTCACCTTTAGTGTCCTGGAAGAGTGTTACATGTATACACCAAGAATACATATAGAAGCGTGATTGTGTGTGTGTGTGTGTGTGTGTGTGTGTGTGTGTGTGTGTGTGTAGGTCAGAGGACAACTTGTGGAAGTCAGTTTTCTTTCTGGTGTGGTTCCAGAGATGAAACTCAGGTTGCCAGGCTTGCACAGCAAGTGCCTTTACTCACTGAGCCATCTCATTGGCCCCCAAAGCTGTTTGTTTGTTTGTTTGCAGTGCTGGGAACTAACTTGGGACCTCACCCATTATAGCAAACACTTTACCACTGAGTTGTATTCCCAGCCCCAGGTTTGTTTTAAAGGCAGCACTTTTACTACATCTGCAGTTTCAAGAGTAATTATCTTAGAACATTGAAGATAAAGAGAAAAATCATACAAGATACATGTAAAAAAGGAAAAGGAATTAATTTCACTTTGCACAAGTAGTAAATACCAGAAGTGTCTCGTAAGTGCTAAAAGTCAGTCCACTCAGTTGTCAGTGATAAGGGCAAGATGGATCTTTGCTGGCTATGTGTTTCCTCTGTACTGATCTTTGTTGGAAGAACTAATAAAGGATGTGCAGGAGAAACCAGGGTGGGAGCAGGAGGGAAATATGAAACCAGTACTACATGTGGTAGGTACCAGCAGTCTTGAGGAGGGGTTGGTTGTTCTCAAGTGTAAGATGGTACAGTTGCCCCCGCTCACATACACAAATAAATAACTGTACTAGTAATTTTAAAAATCACTTCTTCCAGAACCTCCAGAGCCATCTGAGCATCAACTTGGAGCCCCTAGAGGCTTCTCAGCATGGATGAGAATTCATCCCCAGGGCCTTTAAATCCCTACTGTCCTCACATGGCCACTGGGGGGCAGCAAGAGACACTGAGATGGATTCCTGGCACACGGGTCAGCATTGCCTGGTCTCTGCACTGCCACCAACAGCCTGTCACCCCACTACATGAAGCACTCCTTTTCCCATGGGAAAGTGGCTGGTCATTAGAGATGACCCACAATGGAATTCAGCTAATCTGAAACCCAGAATGGTGGCAGCCATGTCAGTTTCCAGCATTCCAGGGTGCCAGTTTGAGTAGAGAGTTTTTATCATCCAACCCTAAGGACAGACCCAGCCCTGCTAGGGTCACCACAGTCTCACTCCTCTAGCTGGGGAATCTTTTGCATGGGTGGGATGTGTGCATGTGAATGCAGCATACCTGGAAATGTGGACCTCCTGCAGGCCTGTTTGCCCATACACAGCCTGAGATATCATCTTGCTCTGAACACCTGTTACCTGAAGCCAGGCTCTAAAGATGCTCACTGTTGATCCAGAAATTCACAGGTCAGATGGTAGAGCTCACCTACCAAGTGAGCCTGGATGGACAGAGCTCTACAACCCACAGAGTATGAGTGAGGGCATGCTTGATCCCAGGCTACTCCTTCCCGGGCTCAGGCCTGGCCTTTGGCTCTTGCAGCTGTGGACTGGGCAGGGTGTCTGAGCTGAGTTTCCTAGCCAGCCTGCCTCTTCCGTATGTATTTCTGGTTTTCTTTAAATGTTCCCATTACTCAGGCCCCTGGTGGGCACCAAGACAGAAATAAATCCCACAAGGCAACCCAGCCAGAAGCCAGGAATCTGATTCTCCCTCAAAGGCCGGAAGAGGCCCCTATGCAGAGCATGCCAGACCACAGTGGCCCACACACTCCACATGGCCATGAATATGGCTACCCCCCCCTTGCACACGCGCACACACACACGCACACACACACGCACACACACAGCCTTACATTTCCCCTGTGCACAGGGTTCATACATAAGCACACACAAGCATTCAGATTTGCCTCTTAGAAATGGTTCATACATGTAGGTGTACTGTGTGCACACATGCATTCGTGCACATACTTCCTGATAGGCTCACATCTAGAAGTGATCACATACTCTGGTTCCCAAACCCAGACATCCTCGAGGCATTGGTGGGCAAGGAAGGTGGAAGGAGTGTGGCCCTATGCAACTTAGGAGGAGAGTGGCCTCATGGGAATGCCGGCTTAAAGCTGCCAGGGCTTCTGAATTTTTAAGAGAAGCTGGAAAGCCGAATTTTTATGTGAAATATCCTGATTTTTTAAAGGTTGGCTCAAGATGTTGAAAATACTACAAGAGCCAAACCAAACACATCTCGGAGCCAAATTCCACCCACAGGCGGCATTCGCAGACCACGGGTCTACACACAAACACACACAAATAGACACACGTACACAGACACACATACAAACAAAAATAGACATTGATACACACAGTCTCACAGACATACCAAAAGAGACAGATATGCACAGAGACATACAGATATATCAAACGTGATGTAAATATACATGGATACACAAACAGGTATACATGCCAGTAGAGCCACAGGCAGATGCAAATACAAATAAATACAAGTTCATACATACCTACAAACACACATAGAAACTCATACACAATCACCCCTCTATCAGTGATAGAAGTGAGCCTATTGGGGCAGGTGATGTGACAATGTGGCTTGGGCAACAGCCAGAGTGTGGTCCATGCTGTTACCCTTTTGACAGGTTGTCTTGGATGGATGAGCATAACGTGGCCAGTAGAGATGCTCTGACAAAAGGTTCTCATATGCCTGGCCATTATGGAGAATGTAAGTATCTACAGGAGCTGGTGGTGAAGGGGTCTGGGGTGGCCAAGAGCTCATCTTCTCATGTCCCAGAGCCCACCCTCCAACCTGCCCTGCCTCCACTGCTTGCATGAGGGTAATGTTAAAGGGGGAGAAACTGAAAAGAAGGGATTGCCCTTGAATCCTAAGGGTTACCAGTCTGCCCAAGGGAGAAAAGGTAGGCTCTTTCCAGGTACCTGAACCTTAGCCTGGGTGTGTATTGGAGAGATGAGATTTCTGAGTCAGGAAAGTTGACCTGTGAGAAGTTGAGGCTCAGAGTGGGTAGTAGCTTGCCCAGGGTAGCATAGCCAGTCAGGGCCCAGGCCCCTGCCCAATTCTGCAGTCCCTCCCTCCTCTGCCTCTCCTGGCCAGTGGGACCAGTCCCCCAGCCAGGGTTTATTTCAGTTGGCTGTGGTAGCCTTAGGCTGTGATCATTTGGTGGTTGGCTGAGGAGGCATCAGGGGCAGGGGCTGGACCCAGCTCAGCCTGTGTGTTGGAGCTACACAGCAAGCTTCATAACCCGAAGCTCCCACAGCAGATCTCTTATAACCAGAGTAGAGCCAGTGCCCTCCCGGATCCCTGGGACAGGCCCTGCCATGTCACAGATATTCAGAGCAGAACTGAATTCCCTCAGACCCCTGAGACAAAGAATTCAGACCTCTCCCTGGTCTGTCTCTGTCCCCTCCCTGGAGTGAGGGCTGGAGAGTGTGAACTAAATGCCACCTCCTTGCAGCCTGGGGGCCTGACGCCTTACCCTTATTGTTCCTGAGCAGAGCTTGCAGGTTGAAGGTGGGCAGCAATAGCTCTTCATGACTTTGTAGCCCCAAGATTCCACTCCTTGTGGGGGGCTGTGGGCACCCCCACTGGAGGCCAGTCCTATTTCCTCCCTCAGAGTGGGCATTACTTAGGGTCTTCAGGTGCTTTCCTAGCCAGTGCTAAAGAGACAGGCCCAGAGAGGGGCAGAGCCTCTCAGCATGCTCAAGACCAATCAGAGCTGGGCCTGGCCACCTCACTGTCCAGTGGTCCCTGTGTGGCACCTGGATAGTAGACTAGGGAGGCCGTGGGTGGGAATCTCTTGGTATTCTCCCTGTCCACTTACTGCCCAGCCCAGGTGCTGTTTATGTGTTCCCTGTGGCTTGGCTTGGCTGCGGGGCCTTGCAGGGAGAAGTGACCACCTGGCTTCAGCAGCTGCTCAATGCAAACAGGACCTTGACCATCTTCCAGGCTTGCTGAGGGCTCTCCTCTGCCAACACCTGGATGGACCAGGTGGGGCTCAGGGGCCTCTCTGAGTGGGGGCCAGCCTAGACCCAGAGGCTCACAGCCCCAAAAGCAAGAGAGCTGGTCCTGGGCAAAGGTCTGATGTGAGAGGGCCAGCCTTTTCCTGGACATCCAGTCAGATGGTAACCAACCTAAAGGCTCCTGGCCCTGTCCTAGGAGCAGGTATCTTAAGGAAAGGGACCAGTACTTGTGGAGGAGATGGGAGGACTGGCCTGACCTGGGCACACCATGCAAAATGAGTCCTAGGGCATTTAACCCCTTTGAAGGAAAATGACAGCCCTATCTTGGGGGCTCCAAAGGGAAGGTAATAACTGAGGTGGGAGACACAGCCTGGCTTGGAGGTGCTGTCTAAATGTTTCCAGGTAAGTGGGCCACATGACCTTCAGACAAGAGGCTTGGGCCGGGACATGTGGCCTGATGTCCAACTGGCTCATGACCTAGTGGACAGGATGACTAACCTTGAAGGCTCAGTGGTCTGGAGGTTTTATAGCTCTGAGCCAGGCTGACAGATCAGTGTAGATCCTAGACAGAGGCAACAGATACCCTTAGGGAGGGGAATGAGGTTTTTTGGTTTGTTTTTTTTAACTGTTTATTATTTTTATTTTATATGTATGAGTGTTATTGGCTGCATGTATGTGAGTGCACCCGTGTCATGCAGTGTCGTGGAGGTCAGAGAGGGCTTCGGATTCCCCCGGAACTGGAGTTAAGGATGGTTTGTAGCCGCCATGTGAGTGGTAGGAATCAAATCCGGGTCCTCTGCAAGAGCAGTCAGCGCTCTTAACCGCTGAGCCATCTCTCCAGTCCCTGGGAGGGGAACAAGGTTTTTGTCCTGCTGAGGTCTCCTTCCTCCAGGATCCTTCCTGACAGTGGCATGCTCCATCACTATCTTCCTACCTGGTCACCTGCTTCCTCTAATCCATATGCAGTCCCATCTTGCCTCCTCATGGAAGCAGGGACTCTATTAAAATGTTTTTCAGATCTTCAGATCAGTGGCTCCCACTCAGCCTGGAACCTTGGCCCCTTAGGGGCCTACCGTTCAAGCAGGTTATACCAGAAGTGCTCCATGGATGGCCTTAGGATGGTTGTTTGTCCCCCTGGCCATCTGGAAAGACAGGCAGGGATGAGCCCAAAAGTGCTCAGTATATGCCCCCACAAAGTGCCTGAGTTGGATGTCTTAGGCCTCGCAACCTCTCACCTATGAGGGTGGGGCTGGGGGAAAAGCAAGGTGGTTTGAGCTAGGATAGAAAGGGAGGGTTTGGTGGGAGCACCAGCTGGTGCAAAAGCCCAGAGGCAGGTCTGTCTGCAGGCTTGAACAAGAGCAAGCAGCTCCATCTTGCCAGAGCATGGGGTAGGCATATAGCCATGTAGCCTCAGCGTCAGGCTAAGGGTCTATGCCATTCTAGGCTCCATGAGTGGTTTGAGACAGAGCTGAGAGGAGTCCAGGGGATGAATGTGGTGGTAGGTGGGTGTCAGGTAGCAATACTGAGCAACTGTTCTGTGATTGCATGTGTCTACCCTTGTAGACCCACACCCCAGCTAACTCTTGAGGCCTAAATTCCTGGCTCCCCACTGGCCCTGAGCCAGAGCAGAGGCCAGCCCACCTTCTACTCACTGGCCAGGGCACTCTCTTGGCAACCTCTGCTTGATGGCTGAAAGCATATCCCTGCTATGTAGGGGGGCTAGGGACATACAAGTAGAGCTCCCTAAGTGGCCACCAACCAGAGGGTTAGCTTGGTGGCATAGCCTCACTGAGGAATCCCTCAGCCCTGGCTGGGCAATGATTGGGGGCCAGCAGGCAGAGGAGTTGACCCTTTCTGGTCCTTGATTTTTTTTTTTTTTTTTTTAAAGTAGGGTCTTATGGATCCTGGGTTGGCTTCCAAATTACAAATTGCCCCATGTTGTCAAGGATGGCCTTGAACTTCTGATCCTCCTGCCTCCACCTCCTGAGAGCTGGGATTATAGGTGTGCGCCATCATGCCTAGGGACTAAACCCAGGGCTTCCTGCATAGTAGGCAAGTATTCTGCAACTGAGCTACCTCCTTGGCCCCTTTTCTGGGCCTTAAAGGCAGAGTTACTTTCTGTTGGACTGTGCAAAATCCCCCGGGGCCCAGACCCCTCCTAGGTAATGAGACTCGGGGTCCCTCTCCCACCTTTGGGTGAGTACCTCCAAACTCTCTGATGGCTCCTAGACCCCACCTTCCTTGATTGAAACCCAGGAAGCCACACACTGCTTCCTTTTTCTTTTTTTCTTTTTCTTTTTTTCCTTTGTTTTTCCTCCTGGCCCAATCCTGAATGGACAACCAGCCCGCCATGAGTCTCTTGGTCCATCTGTCCATCTACCCATGCCAGCAGTCCTGCCTCTGGTGCCCAATCACATGACTGTCTCCCACTCTTCTTGCAACAATGGGGGTGGTCGTGCAGACCCAGAGGCCTCCTCATCCAGGCCTGAGCAGGAACCATTGAGGAATCCATCGTCCTTGGGAATCGCCATGGTCACTGGTATAGTTTCATTCTCAAGGGCTGGAACCCCTGGCTTGGCATGGCCAGGCAGCTGGGAGTGACCATTGGTGGTGGTGGAGGCAGGCAGCAGGCGGGGGCTGAGGGAAAGGCCGAGTCCTGCACGGGGTCCTACATTGGTCACACTTGTGTGAGACACCATTGGGCCATAGCTGTAGCTGCTACTCCCACTGCGTGCTTTGCGCTTGAAGTCCAATGCCAGTGTCCATCGGCTCCAAGACTTCTTGATCTCTGCTTGTACCTTGGGGAAGTAGACAAGTAGCAGTCAGGTATGCCCTTAACCTCTGTGCCACATGTCTCCCCTGCCACCATTTCTGCTCTTCAGTGCCCACTCAGCACTGAATGAATAGGGCACTACTAGGAAAATCCAAGGCCAGGTCAAATCTGATCAGTCTCAGAACATGGGTGTTTGATCAATGCAATCAATAATGGAAACATCCAAAATTCTAAAGCTGGGGGCTGGAGAGATGGCTCAGTGGTTAAAAGCACTGACTGCTCTTGCAGAGGACCTGAGTTCAGCTCTCATCACCCACATGGCAGCTAACAACTGTCTGTAACTCCAGTTCCAGGGGATCCAATGCCTTCCTCTGACCTCTGCCAGCATTGCACAACAAGAGTGCATTCACACACGTGCAGGCAATACACTCATACACATAAAAATAATAAGTAAATAAATAAATAAAAATTCACAAGCTCACATGGACCCAAAGATGGCTGAGCCCTCAGTCCAAGTTCCAAAAAATTCCCCTCTGGGGGTTAGGAAGACATTTTGCTATACTACACATGGAAGAGCCCACACATCCTAGTATACCCTGAGTCTGAATCATCTTTGAAGCCCTCTCTGTGTCTTCACAACATGATTAGGGGGGTTCTTGATGAGCAATAAAAGAGTGGGAGGGTGAGAATGAAGGGACAAGGCTTGAGGAACCCCAGCATCTCTGCCTCTCCCTGCACTGCCTACCACTTACCTCGCCGTTGCAGAAACAGTATATGATGGCGACAAAAAATCCCTGTGGAGAGAGGTACCTGGGATCAGGGCCACCTCCCTTCCCCCACCCTGTCCCCCAGGACCTCAGGCAGGTTGCGCACCTGGAAGGAGTTGAAGAGCATCTCGTAGTGCATCTGGATCTGCCAGAGCGTCCCTGAGACCTCGGTATATGGTAAGGCCATGAAGACGGTGTAGTGGACTCCGAACAGCGGCATGAGCACCAGCGTGGACTTGAGCAGCTTCCTGGCCATTGGGGCATGAAGGTTAGGCCACACCCCCTGCCCCACAATAAGCAACCGCATCCCTCCACTCCAACCAGCCCCAGGTTCCAGAAGCTATGGGGCTCTGGCTGTGTGACTCAACAACCAAGTTCACTCAAGATGGCTTCTACCAGGAGACAAAGTGTTACTCGAGGTTCTTGGTTCTGAGAGGTGTCCTAGAGTGGATTGCAACTGTAGTCCCTGTATCCCTGGGCCCTTTGCACCTGCTGGCATGCACTCATCCCACCATGGCCCAACCTTCAGCTTTCAGCTGAGCTGTTGTCTTCTTGGAGCCAACCTCTACTCACCTGCCCCTCCAGCTCCATGAAACCAGCTGAGAGTGGCCAGGTGTGTCCCACATTAGCAGGCCTTAGGTCTAGTGCAAAGCTTTATACCAAGTTGCAGAGCAAGATCCAGCATTGCTGTGCAAGCCAGGGCCTGGATGGGCCATCTGGTGAGCCATGGAGCCAGAGGTCAGAGGCTCCCCTTGCAACAAGCTCATCCATGGTACCTTTGTGTTCCCTTGGGTACATGGTACTGACAACCAGTGACCCTGAACTCCATCCCCAACTCTGAGGAGCCAGAGCTCACCGGTACTGCTGCCTCGTGTCACACCTCCCAGCATTGGTCTCCCGAAGCTTGGTGGCAAGCACTCGGATGATGTTGATGAAGAGGATGAAGTTGAGCTGTTGGGGGAGGTTGCATTGGAGGCTGCACCCCAGCATGGGGCAAGAACTCTTGGACCATGGCCCTGCTACAGGCCCTGCTCTGACACTGTCTCTGGGTGACTCCTAGGGCCCTGGGTTTCCCCTTCTGGACTGGAGTTTGGGATCAGCTGGTCTTCAAGGCCTTTGGGTCCCTGAGGTTCAGGGAAACCACTGTAGATATTCTCAGGGGCTGGTCACTGGGGCCCATGCCCACCCTGCCCTCCTCAACCCCTGCTTACCACAACAGAAGCCAGAATGGGCACCTGGATGATCCACTTCTTGTGCCCGGAGCTCAGGTCCCAGCACCTGGGGAAGATGAAGCACTAGCCATCAGCCTCTCCTCAGCCAACCCACACTGTCCCCAAAGTTGGCCTATTCTGACACCAGCTGTCAGAGGCCCAGGACAGGAGTGTTGCAGGTGGCCAGGCCTGAGGCACTCATGGGCCTCTAGAAATCACTTCCTGTACTCTGGATTCCTGACTGAAGGCTAGACTGAGAATCTGGGCTGCTGGGGGCCAGGAATCTCCCCATGATTCAAGTAGGAAGAGTGAACCAAAGTATTTATGGTCTGTGTCAGAGCCCTTGGTCCCTTCTGCAGCTGGACCTACCCAGTGTTAGCCAAGGTAGCTCTGACACCAACCCACACAGCCACGAAGATAGCAGGCAGACCTGTGGGCACAAAGAAGAATGTGTGAGTTCTGGGCGTGTTGCCCCCAAATCCCATGGCCCCCAGCTCAGCTCACTGCCTGCACCCTACCCCTAGGCACATGGGCTCTTTAATGACAGCCACACCAGCTGTCTAGGCACATGGGCCACCCAAACAGTCTTCCCTTGAGGCTCCAGCCCTCAGGATCCAGTGCAGTTCTCTCTCCCATCTGATTCCATGCTTCCTGTGAGCCTGCTGGGCCTAGGCTGAGTATGACGTTTCTATAGCTTGTCCATGCAGTCCTGCTCACTCCTTTCCCTCCCCCAAAGCACACTGCTCTGAACTTGCAGCTCCCGTGGGGAGAGAGCCAATGACCAGCATTTGTCTGTTCTAATATCCCCTCTCCAGGCCTAGTTTTGAGAGGTCCTAGCCTTCATGGATGAGGGTAGATGAAGTAAAGGTTGTCCTCTCAGGCTGGATAGAGACCATGGGGAGCCTCAGAGGTCATCTGGGCAGCTCAGATGGCACCTCTGAGTAAAGAGAGCCTGGTGCCCCACCCCCAACTTGATTCTCAGCCCATGAACCCTTTGAAAGAAAGGGTGTGACATTCCCAGATCACAGAGTTCTGTGTGCTCCCTAATCCACATGTTTCCAGCTCACACGGATACCTTCTAGCCCTGAAGCTTGTGTGAAATTCTGGAATCAGGCCCAGATTTGCCCAGTTCTGGGGGCTTGCCATGGTGAGGTCAGGGGTAGGGTGTGTGCCAAGGGCCAGGGTGGTGGTAATTGACCTGAGGGCTTTCTGGGTGCTGAGCCCAGGAGGCTCCAGCCATTGGCCCACCCTTCCACAGTCTGGCTGCTTGCCCAGGAGCCCAGCCAAGCTCTGGAACTGCCAGCAATAATGGACAATTATCGGTAACTAGATCCCAGAGCCCCGTGGGGGGCTGGTAGGAATGCAGCATCCCAGGAACCCACTGCAGAGAAGCTGCAGAAGCTAGATGGTACTCAACTTCTGGGCTTGTGGCTATGGACTACAGGGTCCCCCACCTTTTGGTAATAGATGCTAGCTCCTCCCACAAGGCTCTGGGTAGAAGGAGGGTCCAGACTACAGCTCTCAGCCCCATAGTAACTAGTGACTCAAGAACCACTCTGATGCCAAGTTTAATCTTTAGAGTCTCTGTCCCCATCTCAACCCCAGGTAATCATCTCTCACCCTAAGTGAGCTGAAAGCCCAGGCAAAGCCAATACCAGGTGAATCCTGCCCCCAGCCAAGCTGTGTCCCCTAAGCTTGGAATGGGGTCAGAGTTACAGCAGGATGGATAAGGGTGCTACCCAACATAGGGGACAGGATATGCTGGTGGGTGCTTTACCCTTGGGGTTCCCCTTCACCCTACCCACTGCCCTGGCCTCCATACCCCAGCCGAAGATGGTGAAGCCCCACAGGTACTTCTTCTCTGAGAAGAAGGCCATGAAGATGAGACTGTGCAAGTACAGCCCCTCCACCAGAATCCAGTAGTAGTTGGTGGCCAGGAAGTAAAGGAAGAAGGTCACAGCCACGCGGCAGCCCGCCTAGGAGATCAGCTAGAATTAGCCAGAAGGCTGAGCCTGCATCATATAGGAAAGATCTGGACTGCTTTAAGAGTGATGAGGGAGCACCTATACTGGGTTGGGACTAGCACAGCAAGCAAGCAAGGGCAGGTTTAAGACTTGGTGGGGTGTGGGGGTATCAGGGGCTGGTAACGAGGTGATGAGATGGAGAGGTTGGGGCACTGGGCTGAGGCGTGTACTCTGAACCCCTTATCTATACGGTAAGGCTGGGAGCTGTGGGGAGTGGAGGGTCTCTGTGATGGCCTGATGCTAGAGGGGGTAGCAGGAGACAGGAAGGGCGAGGACTGGACTACAGGTGCAAGGGGCGTGGCTGGGCCTGCCGCGAAGGAGGGACACTCACGTAGCCAACGGCAGCAGCGGCTGGCGGCGGCGGCACCTGCGCGATGATATGCAGTTCCTCCTCGGTGAGGCGCTCAGCCTCATCAAGCGTGAAGCCAGAGTAGAGCACCGCATCCTTGACGAAGATGCTCGCGGCGCGCAGCATGAACGACAGGAACATGTGCATGTGGATGTAGTTGCGTGTGCAGTGCAGCCGCCTGCGGGGCGTGCGACATCACCGTGGGTGGGGGCACAGGGGACGCGGCGGCGGGCAGGAAGCTGGGCTGTGCGCGGTAGGTGGGGACACCCCCGGGGGGATGGATGCAGTGAAGGGGAAGAAGGGAGGCACATACCTAGGACCACGTCCTGCCCCATCCGAGACCACGCCCACCCCGACCCCCGCTGCCTTTGCCCCGCCCATTTCCCCACCCACCTAAAGTACGCCAGGATGAGCACAGCCACGGTGAGGGAGGCAAGGGACATAGAGTATCCCACGGTGTAGATCATGCCTAGGCGGTCAAATACCTCCTGCGCAGGCGAGAGACAGAACTGGTACTCAGAGTGGGCGCTGGGTGAGGTAGAGGCCAAGTTAAGGTTGCTGGAGGAGTCAAGGGCAGGAGTCCCGTCTGCGTCAGGGTTCATTAGTGGGGTGTGGGAGTGGTCTTATGGGTCAAGGTGGGAAGGGACAAGGCTCGCACCCGTTCCCGAGTCTCATTGGTCATGAACTTGAGGCATTCGCTGTAGTTGGCCCATGTCCGGTTGTGCCCAGGCACCACCTCCCAGCTGCCGTTGCGGTCACAGCGTCTGTAGGCATGGCCTGTAGGGTGGTGGGACAGTCAGGGCAGGCAGAGGAGGCCTGGAGCCACTAAGTCCCAAGTCATGGTATCCCTGTGGCCCCCAAACCCACTTGGCTAGCCTTACCTTTGTGATTGAAGTCATAAATGTAGTCAGGGCAGGGCACAGCTACCACCTCACCTGGTGCCCCTAGTGGCCAACACACGATGTTGTCCCACTCTGGCAGGCAGGGGTGTCCTGTTCCCAAAGACAAGTCCATAGTTAAGACCCAGGGACATGAACACACCTATGGTTTGGTTCCCACAGGGACAGTGTACCCGAGGACCGGAAACTTCAGGCTTAGTGCATTCTAGAAAAAAAATATATTGAGCCCTTACTTCCCCTGTGAAGCAAGTATTGACACTAATCCCATTTTCCAAATGGTCTGGAAAAGGACAAAAGAAGTGAGTAACTTGCTGAGATCACATGAAGAAGGCAGTTTCTCAGACTAACTCTCAGAGGCTCCCAATATGACCCTTCCCTGGAGACCACAGACAGGAAAAATGTATGGTTCCTAGTGCCAGGTAGACTTCCAAAGAGCCGCTAACCTCACACAGGTGCCTCCACTCTGCATTTCCATTTCCTCATTGGGAAGTTGACCATATTAGACTGTACTTCTACATCTAGGCCTGCCTAGAAGACCCATGACTGAGCATTCATTGGGTATATGATCCTCCAAATCCAAGTGTTGATGTTGAGTGTCAAGACAGTGAAACATCACACTTTGGAGCCCTGACAGAGATGTTAAGTGACCTCAAAGGGTCCCTAGCATCTAGATCATCCACATCTCACTCCAGTTCATGGCCTCCTCTCCCCCTGAAGGACTCTGACCACAGGACTCTCTAGCCTGCCTGGAAGGCTGCCTTGATGGCTGGACCCGCCCAGCTTGGTGAAAGGCTCTCTGTCCTGGGCACCATATTCCCAGCCCCACCCAGCCAGGCCCACAATTCCCTCTGGTCCCTGGGGAGCCACAGGGTGACCACAGGCTCCCAGATGTGGCCCATCTGGAATCTGTTGCCCACCCGGCCAGTTCTAACTGGCCTTGTGGCCACAGCTTGGGCTCTGTGTTTGTCTCTCCTCACCTCCCCAAGGCAACCCTGCATCTCCCTCCCTCCTCTTCTCCTCCTCTTGTCCCACTGTCTCTGTCTCCACCCCTCAAGGCTGTACTACTCTCTTGCTGTTTCTATGGCTCTTTTCACTATGGGTCTTTCTGTACGTCCTTGGACATACAAGTGCTAGACTTTTGGTTTGTTCATCTTGGTCCTTCTCTTTCTCTGTGTATCTATCTCTGTGGGTTATGGGTTTCCTGTAGTGCTAGGTATTCCCCTGAAGTACTCCCTGGGTCCTGAGTCCACCTAGCTCACCTAACCCTTCCTTATGCTGCCCCTTGGGCTGTCTCCAACCCTTCTTTCCTGGGAAGGGAGCTGTGGCCTCTCACTTCCCACAGGACCTGTCATGACTGGGAGAGAACAGTGGAGACAGATGGATCTGAGCCCATGCCTGAAGGGAATGGACATACCTCGGCGCCTGCTGCCAGTGGGCACCTCCTTGTTCTCCTTGGACTCAGGGTAGAACTTTCCTGATGCCTTTTCTTTCCTGGACTTCCCTGAAGTGGATGGGGGTGTCCATCCCTTGTCTGATTCCATTATGTTGGCTGAAGAAATCAGGGTAGTTCCAGCTGTCAGCTGTGCTATAACAATAGACCTGGGGTGTCATCTCTCCTACAGTCTCCTGCTTTGTACAATGGAGAACTGACCCTGTCAAGGATGCTGATACTCAGGCTGTTGGGAGATCAGGGAATGGGGGGTGGGGTGACAAGCAAGTGTCTCATAAACTGTATAATACTTAAGTAGAGAAATAATCAGGAGACGGAGCTGGCTAGCAGAGGTTCAAATGGGGCAAACACTGTGAGTGTGGGGTCAGCTAGCAGGTGGAGTGGCAAGTGTGGGCAATCTAGAGCAGAGGGTAGTAGCCTACCACCCAGGAGTCAAAACCACACAGGAGTGAAGGGCCCACCAGGGGGCGCATGGCAAGAATAGATAGGGAGAAATGGAGTGGAGTGTTTATGGTGAAAATCCAGTCAGGCTAGAGTGCTGGGCAGGTGAGGAAGCTGGTGACCAGGAGGGCAAGAGTAAGGGGTGCAGTGTGTCAGGAGTAGACAGGTGATTCCACCTACCCCGTCCTCTGCCCTAGGATATTCGAGTAAAGTGTTTGCAGCTTCTATAAGTGGCCCTGGAGACACTACCTGGGCTGGGGCCTGGCTTTTTTCTTTCTTGGAGAGACAATGGAGGTCTCTCTCAGCTGCAAAGTCCTCCTCATTATCTGACTTGTGAACCTTCAGCTACACCCCAAGCTAGGGTGCCCTGGCCCTCCCACATCCAGTCCAGGCAATCCAGACTGGGATGAGAATGACTGTCACTATTCTGCTTCCACCCTCAGGGAGAGGCTCCATGATGGACAGGAAAGGGGCAGAGAGGTACATCTACCCTAGCTACACAACTATGAAGGGTTTAGGATCAAATGAGAGAGACTCAGCTGCCTCCTCCCCCATGTGACTGGGTGCCATGGGTGGGGCCAGGGTAGGCGGGACTGTGTGTAGTGTCTTTATGAATGAGAACAAAGTCTACATGCACCACAGCAAAGCTATCACCCTGTGCTTTGTGTCCAGGGTATGTGCCACTGCTGTCCCCCACCAGCTCCAGGGAGAAAACTGTTCTGGCAGGATAGGAGGTCAGGGGTCTTGTCCCCTCCAGTTGATGAGATCAGCCAGACCTTTGAAGCCTGGATGAGTGCCAATATAACCCCATACCAGCTTCCAGGAAGTGGATTCAAGGGAGAGGGCAGAGAGGAGACACATGTGAGAGGGGTTCAGAAACTGTGAGACTGGTTGGGTGATGCCCTCCCTCCCTATGGCAAAGGTCCCTCAGAGATGTGTTGGGAGGCACCCTCCCTCCCCCAGATCAAGTACTCCTTCCCCAGGCTGTAAGGTGAGTCATACACACATCCATCCCTGTCCCTCTATCCCACTCACCCCCATCTAGCCCTAGGGGACACCCACCCTAGAGTTCTGTGCCCAAATGGCCTCATTCAGAGACCTCCCCAGTCTTCTAGACTTATCTTAGCTATTTTTTCCTTAAGGAAGCTAGCCCAGTCCACCCTACTAGGGTCCTGCACCTTCATCAGAGCTCTTGGTTTGCCTCATCCCATCTAAGTCCACTGGGGACATGTGTCCTATAGTTGCCTTCACACCTTCACCCGGAAAGGAGAGACACACATATCTTTTGGCCAATCTGGCCAGAGGTTATTTCCGTACATACACAGAGGCATGTCCTCTGAGAGGATGTGTGTGGGGAATGAGGATGCCTCTGGGTCTGAGCGCTAGTGGTGGAAAGACAGCATAAGGACCTGAGTCCAGGACTTAAGGCTGCCCTGAGCTTATTGATTTCACTCTTGCCTCATCCACCCCATTGTGAGTCTTCACTTTGGCTGGGCCCCCTTTATTGGGCCCATCCTAGCCTAACACCTTCAACCCCTTCACCCACTTGCCTCTGCCTCCTGGACATCCCCCATCACATGCTGACCTCATGCCCACCTCCTCATTTCCTCCATCCCTACCTGCTGTGCGTAGGACTTCCTTAAGTAGCTTGTCACACTGGGCCTGGGCACGGTGCAGCAGGAAGATCTGTTCCTCCTTGGTAAAGACATCATCAGCATCCACCTGTCAAGCCAAAGATCAGACTGCAGGCAGTACTTCCAGGTACAGCACTTGGTCCCAAAGTCATTCTGCCTCCCCAGGGACCCCCATTTTCAAAGATGTTTGCTTGAGAGGAAGACTCTGGAAAGTCTGCTTCTGTGGAGCATCTGCCTCATGGAGCTCCAATTTTATAGTCAGGAAGTAATGGCAAGGCCTAGGGCCTGCTCCATGGTGGGGAGAGAGGAGAACAGAGTGGGGGCCATCCCCTGCCTATCCACCAGTAACCCTGTTGCCTGCAGCCACTGACATTCTCTGTCCAGTCCGTCCCCTGGGGCACATGGGAACGGATGGAATGTCCCAGGATGAAGCCTCCCGGGATCCTGGCTGCCTGCTGGGGACCTGGAGTTGAATGAGGAATGGTGAACTCTGAAGAGACAAACTCAGCCTGGATTCCTTCAAGTCTCAAGGCCCCCTGGGGAAGGTGGCAGTCACCATTTTCCATCCTGGCCCAGTAGTCAGTCAGTGCTCTCCCTAGTGAAGAGTGAGAGCCTCACCCTCCCTGCTTAGGGCCTCAAAGAGAGAGAGAGTGGAAAAGTTGCTGGGTGGTGGTGGTGGTGGTGGCAGTGGTGGTGGTGGTGGTGGTGGTGAGGGAATGGCCAGGACTGTGCAGGACCCCCACCCA